CCACGTGGCAACAACACCACAGGGTAAACATGACAAAATCATTGAAATATCAAGGGTGGGCATCGAAACAAGTTGGGGCTGCTTGCCATGGTAGGAAGCCTTGGCCAAAGTCATTGTCATTATCAAAAGCAAGCCTAGCATTCTCTCACTGTATCATAGAAACAGGTCCTGGTCACGCTTGAAGAATTCATTCATTTTGAAGGTGACAGCGTGTGGAGCTGGATTTGTTTGTTGTTCGAGAACTTAGCAACAGTCTAATGTCTTCCAGCCGAGATGTAGAGCAAGCGCCCTGCCAAAACCTATGAAGAAGTCTAATCTACCTGAAATGTTCAGAGGTTGAAGGGTGCGACGAATCATCAAGAGGAATATTGGATATGCATTGCACCCAGAAGCCTCGTTAGAAAAAAAGAATGCTACCGGACAACTTGCACCATTAACTTTTGGTTATCTTTGCTTATATGCATATTTCTCCTTTGACAAGACTTGCTGCGATTGCTGCTTCTATTTGGAGGGGAACAGTTTTGTTCGGAACCTAAAGTAGCTTGCAGCAGCGCTGTTATCTTTGATGCATGCGCCATTCCGTGCGAATGCCACTGATGACTCAATGCAATGGTGCTTCAGGCGAACCAACAAACAAAGCATGGTGAGTGTTGCGGGCTGCAAAAAACTTGTTCATCAAACGCCAAATGGCATGATGTGAAGGCAAGTAGCTCGCAAAATGGACGGGGTCGCCCTTCGGAACTCCTCGCGCAAGTCCACTCAAAACACTTGCAAGCAACAAAATGTCGCATCAATGCGGTGTGATGCACCTCATTCCGGCCGGGCTGCATCTGAGTGACTATGTCTGAGCTATGCAAGCGAACATGGCGAACTTGTGAGACATGCGGTGTCCGAAAGGGGCCGACATGGGGCCCGTGTACTGTGAGGTGAACTGATTAGTTGCCAAGAATATGTTTCCTCGTGCTTTGTTTGCCTCGCGGCTCCTCTACAATGTTCAACTCTTCTGACTTTAGAACCTTTTGAGCTGCCTTTGAGCTGTGACAAACAATCCCGGCGCAAACCCCTTGCCTAGCTGGACTGGGGATAGCTGCAAGCACGTGAACAAACTTTAGATTGCGGACTAGGTAGTTCGAAATGTGATTGCTTCATTAGGTTGGAGGCCATCACTTTTAGATTGGAGGCCATCGCTATTAGGTTGGAGGCCATTGCTAGTAGGTAGCTCGGAAAGTGAATGCTTGCCATGAAATGACGAAGTCGATTTGTCGAGTGCTTCTGATCCCGGGGACACCTTTTCGACCTGGCTTCTTAGACACCCGGAAGCTAATCATTTCCTTTCGTGTGATCACATCAGTCTGGTTAGATGGCCTCGGCATTGCACAAGTCGACAGACTAAATGCACGACATGACCTTCGGGCTATCTTGGACCTGAAACTCCAACATGCGAAATCCGAGTGGCCAAGCTCAAGTTCTGGAGGACAAAACCTCCATCAGCTCATACTTCCTCATCAGCATTGACCATCCATCGGCACCCAAGCAGACCATCCTCAGAGGCGTAGCTGTGGGTCTGGCTTCCCCAAAGCTGGGAATGTCTTTCTTTTTGTCGGATTTGCGTAGGTGTAGAGTGTTGACTTAAGAAGCACCCGCGAGCTGTTTCATGGCCAAGCAGTCGCGCTTTCTTTGTGCCCTCATAGCATCCTCGATATGTGAAAGCCTACGGCCACCCCTCTTTCACTAAAAGGATTTATTGCAAAAACAATCATCACTTGAAAAACTTCGAATGGACGCCTCCTTAGTTCACTTCGGCGTCCCTTGTGCGAAGCTTCAGTGCCGCTTGCCAGCTTAACCTTTGCACATTTGCCTTCCTGTTCTTCCACTGCCACGTGGTTGAAAACCAGAGATGTTCAATCCAGAGTCTGGCAGTGTCACCAATATGCAAGCTGAATAAGACATTCTCTTTTCACAAGCATGTGACCCAAGCTATTTTGACTTCGTATGACATGCAATTGGAAACTTGGCGGAAATAGGACAGGAATGGACAGAAGCCTGTGTGCAGTCCCCAAAGACAAAACTAATTTGTCAGAGCTCATTACAGTAAAGGGTTTTGACTTGTTGGTAGCTCAAGTGATGCTGTTAAAGACTCATTGAAGCTGCCTCCTGGCTTCAGCTTCAATTGAGGGAAAAAAGAACGCACAGTCGCTGGCCCAAGCAGCTTGCAAGCCTCTGATCGTCAATATCTCCAAGGTAGTGGCCCTTGTTTTGCGCATTTCAAGAACTTTGGCAAAGCCCAGCAAAGGCAAGAAGAGCTTTGGAACAGCTCTGATAACCAGAACGCTTCTGAACAGCACTCAGCCAAGCAGGACCGACCAAGTGATCGTTCAAGCCGAAAGGGGATGGAACACGACAGAGCGATTTGGTCCACACGGCGCACCTTTGCCCATGCTGTTCTCTTTTGGACACATTCTTTCAAGACGCTGCGCACGCGAAGTCTTGATGTGCAATAAACTGAATTGGTTTATCCAATATCACCTAAATCATACATCTGTCCATATGTCCTCCAACAAAATCTTCCATACCCACACCGAACCTCCTACTAAGAATGAGATGGCTGGCATGGATTCTTAGTTTTAATGCGCACCTCTGCAACCCTGCTTTGTCAGCATGGCCACCGCCCCAGAAACACTGAAATGGATTTAGGCATATTTAGGGATAGGCATGAATACAAAAATCCACCCCTCGTTCAATTGGACACCTTTCCTTAATCATCCTCAATCCATTTTGTCGCCCGGCTTATCTAAGCTGCTGTACCTGCATCGCACGCCAGCTTGCTGGAGAAAAGCATTGCAAAATTAATGGCAATCATGCTCTCCAACGTGGACTACGCTGTCCTTCATGGAAACACTTTATGAAACACTTGTTGCAGATCAAATCCCACCCCACTGGTTGGATTGAAGCTTTGGTTGTTGCGCTTCACTGACAAAGTGCTGCATGCTTTTCTGAAGTCCGGTATTCTCACGAAGCCGATCACTTCTTCTTGCCTTTGTTTAGGTGGGCCAGAGTGTGGCCCTATTTCCTTGCTCCTAGTAGCGATGCCCTTGTTACTAGTAGCTTCTTGCTCCTAGTAGTACGGCCAGGAGCCCCTAGTAGCGTCTTTGCTCCGTCCGAAGCGATGCCAGGAGCCCCTAATAGCGTCCCTGCTGACACTTTTTGAGTCTTAGAGTCAGGCTCTGGGCAAAGCTTACCCACTATTTCTGATCTGCGCTGCGAGGAGACGCACAACTTCTGTCACTGGCTCCTGACACCGCCCTGCAGGAAAGCAGCTAGAAAAAGCTTCTCGTTTCTGAATGAAGACATGGAAAATGGGTAACTTCAACATTCGCGCTGAAGCTTACAAAGGACAACCAGGAAAGAAAAACCTTGCGCGGAGTTACACGTGGCAGCATTTTCTTTTTGCACCGCCTTATCACAAAGTCTTTACTGCAAAATTAAAAGGAGGTTTTCCGCGGGGCTCGAGTTCAAACTTGGCGTTGCTCTCTGGAATGCAGAACACGCAAAACCGAGAGACCGGAAGCTAATCATTTCCTTTCGTGTGATCACATCAGTCTGGTTAGATGGCCTCGGCATTGCACAAGTCGACAGACTAAATGCACGACATGACCTTCGGGCTATCTTGGAACTGAAACTTAAAGA